GTGTAAATCTTGTGACTCATGGAGTCTTGGTGACGAGTGTGATAAGTATGCTGTATGACTGTCACTAGCATGGCTGAAAATGCGATAAATCTGTATCCACTAGCACCCTAATGTATTCCGATAGCGACACGAAGTGTGGCATTTTCAGCACATACATATTGCAGAACAAATGATGATTTACGAAGCCACGAAGTGTCTGCAGCCAAAGATAGGACACATCATGATCGAGAAGCCTCATCTTAGTATCATAATGCGGCAAGGGCGGCGCCACCGTGGGGGCAGTGGGGGCAGACTGCCCCCACTGGCAGGAGGCCGTGGGGGCAAGACTATGTTTTTGCCCCCACAAAATTTGGCTGATGTTGCAGTTGAAAAGGGAACAGAAGACCGGTGCAACATTCATGATAGGCGGTTAATAACATAAGAATACGTCTGTTTTTGACGGTCCCCGTATCAAGTGCATCAGCAGAACGTTCTTTCTCGGACCGTCTGTCGCATATCTCCTACTCCCACTCATTCTCCTACTCTTTTTCATTTGCACCAGAAGGCTGCCCTCGAGCTTGACCTCGAGGAGGTTGAGAGGCAGCTTGTCAAAAGTCGGCCGGAGAAGAGATCACCCTCTTTTGGGAACCCTTAGACCGAGACTGAGCTCAGGGAGGTATGACAAAATGTGATAGGTATGTATTGTATATCCGGGTTATCTGGAAATGTGTGTTGGTCGCCCTAATGGAACTTATTCTGGCATCAATCGTGTGTGAGAGAATCGCACATACATACGTACTACGGGAAAAAAGAGAACTATGTACTGACTATTGTTTTGAGGAATACACCATTTTACATCTCAACGAACAGCATAACGTTTTCACAGGTTTGTGTCTCGCAATGTAGTTTTATAGTTTTATTTGCTCGCGACCTTAACCCGGCCGGGCCCGGGGGTAATCCCAACCACCGCAGCCCGGGGAAGCCTCTTCCCCCCCCCCCCACTTGTCTAACTCCGTAAATAAGGCAGCTACGGAAACAAAAATGGTACCAAATGAAAGATATCTACGAGAAGATTCTTAAAGCACCTAAACTTTTTGACCTCAGGTCAATTTTCAAAGTCAGAACTAGAAAACAAGGTCAAAGGCAAAAACCGGCACTTTTGTAGTGGTCTCAAAGTACGTGTTCCAGAGGACGGCATGGTGCATAAAACCGGCTAAAATGCAGATGTTAAACGACAGAAGAGAGTCTGGGAATTCCCATGATGTGCATAACATTCAAATTCTAGGTCACGGCCATGCTCAAAATGTACCACAAACTTTGCACTTTTTCTTATCCTTTTTCTCTTTCACTTATTCAAGTCAGGCATAATAATTAAGATGCGTTTTGCCATCCTGAGGCTCTAAACGAATGCTTAGAGCAAAATGGATGCCAGAATCGTGATCAGCGGCTACGAAATCATCACAAACGACCTTTCATGTGTCAAAGTCAACCAAAGGTCATTCGAGGTCACATGAGGTCAGCATAAAACTTGACCTTGTCCAAACAATGTATATGTCATTCGACGCGTCTCGACGAGACGAATGCGAAGGCAACACTGCCGTAGCTCTAGATTAGAACCATCATTTTTGTTGGAGTTTTTTTGCGAAAAAAAAACTAAAGCCCCAGCTCGGGGTCGTTGCCCTGACCTCTGACCTCAGGTCACCAAAGTTACTTAAGTATTTTTTTCTGGGCGAAATGCTACAAAACCGTGCTCGTAATTTGTCTTTATCTCTAAAACTCTATTTTTTGCAGCTGGTTGAAGTTCACGTCTGTGGCGCCGAAGTTTGCCTTGATAAATCGGCCCTGAGACGGTATCAAGGAGGCTAGGTCCAAATTTTTTGCTTGAAAAAATGTCAAATTAATGGGGTATAAGGTACAGCAAGTTTCGTCGATCTATTCCTAAACGTTCGTGAGGTATCGCAAATATTCGCCAGAGGAGGCGAAAAACGCCCCCCCCCCCTTCCGGGCCCGCCAGGGTTAATGGTTCAGCTCAATACGTACGCATGAAACCTGAAACCATAATAATTTTGAATGGCAACATCTAGGGGCAAGGTGCTCATGGATTTTGCAGATCGGCGTATCAGACAACAGTCGGGTGACCTCAAGCTTGCCCCCACTGGCCAAAATTCGTGGCGCCGCCACTGTAATGCGGTCCATCTACGAGCCACGAGCCAGCCACGAGTAGCCATTCTGCCAATGATGGCACCATTTGCTAAACGTGAGCTATAAATACAATCATTGTTATATTTAGGTAACGGCTCGACCTGGGGGTAACTGCCTTTCTCTTGCCATGCGGGAGGACATTCATGTGGCACGACTCTGGTGACACGTTGTGAGAAAAAGATCCATGCACATTGCACAATCCCACTCTACAACCATTGAAAGTTAAAACCTTCTTAGCACTAAAAAGAAGCAAAAAAAAAAAATATTGTGAATCTTACGTGTAACGACATCGCCTGAAATCCGAAGCATATTTACCAAAAACGGCCTTGGTATCTGCACCATGTAATTTTGACCAAATGTTTATGGTTGTAGCCTGAAGGCATTTCCCGCAAGCCGAAATCATGGTAGGCATTATGGCTAGGAAAGCTCAAACAGCGACGTATAAACCAGTATAACGCCTTTTGGGGCGACTAACGGAGCGAGCGAGAGGGTGGGCTTTGCACGTGCGAAATTGCGAGGGGGTACCTCCAACTGACTTGTGCACGGCACCCTACTAACCGGTCTCTAGCGATGTGCCAAATTTGGGCACAATCGGCCCAGCCGTTCTCGAGATCTGGAAGCGGCACCCTGCACGTGCGCACGTGCCAAATGTGTCCCAACTGACTTGTGCACGGCACCCTACTAACCGGTCCCTAACTGTGCACCAAATTTGAGCGCAATCGGTCGAGCCGTTCTCGAGATCTGGAAACGACCCCTGCACGTGCGCACGTGCAGCAGCACCCCAACTCTGGCACATGGATATGCAGTGCCTAGTGGGTGCCTACCTATATGCGAACTTTCAGCGCAATCGGCCAAGTAGTTAGCGAGATATTGCAACAATTACAAAAGTGACACCTCTTCGTTTTGCACGTGGCACGTGCATAAGGGGTCACCCACATGCATCGGGAATAGTCCAATACTTGGTAGAAGGAATGAAGCTACCCTACAAAATTTACCGCATGTAAATCGGTCAAGTGGTTGCTGAGATATGTCTCGCAAAAGCGTCCGCACAGCCGGCCGGCCGGCCGCTCATACTCAGAAATTTCCGTTAATCTAGGGAAAGACTACGCTCGCTTCGCCCGCTCCGTAACAAACGTCTCATTTTTACATTATCTTATTGGCAGGACGAGGAATGAGGATTATATCTAGGACGGGGAGGAACCAGGAATGCAGTGTTCGTGCAATCGGTAGTGAAAAGATGGTAGGTAAATACTAAATGCGACAATCAGGGACGAGTGACAGCAGGCAGAAGTGATGTGACAATCAATCGTGATTCTATGTATCTTATCAGGGTCCACTGCACTATTGTAGCATGCTGCTTAAAAAAGAACTATCATAAATATCGAATTAATTCTGCACCAAACAGCGAGCCATCTCATGTTCTGTGGTTTACCTATGTGAAAACAAAACGAAACGACGGAACGGTATAGGAGGTCGTTGGACGGAACAGCAACATTTTCAAACCTGGTCAAGGTGTACATAAAACAACTGTGTCGAGACAAGGCCGAAACCAATGTTACTTTGAAATGTGTCACACTATCAATCAAGTGCTGTAAATTATGAAACTAAATTTTGATAGTCATTCGTTCAGGCGATTATCGGTGATACCAGGCGCCACTTCTCAACAGCCAGGTATCGATATTACTTGATAGGCGATTTCGTCGATACAGGCGCATCTGTGAAGGTCGGGCTCTCTGACTCTCTCCTCTCTTTCGCTCCCACTCTCTCTCTCTCTCTCTCTCTCTCTCTCTCTCTGTCTCTCTCTCTCTCTCTCTCTCTCTCTCTCTCTCTCTCTCTCTCTCTCTCTCTCTCTCTCTCTCTCTCTCTCTCTCTCTCTCTCTCTGTCTCTCTCTCTCTGTCTCTCTCTCTCTCTGTCTCTCTCTCTTTCTGTCTCTCTCTCTCTCTCTGTCTCTCTCTCTCTCTCTCTCTCTGTCTCTCTCTCTTTCTCTTATATATCTCCCCAATCTGTCTGTATTCCGTATGTCTTTCCGTTTGTATCCCTCTCCCTACTCTCCTTCTCCCTCTCTCTCTCTCTCTCTCTCTCTCTCTCTCTCTCTCTCTCTCTCTCTCTCTCTCTCTCTTCCTCTCCATTCTCTGGCCGACGAGCCTGCTTATCAGTCAAACAAACTACACAGGGTAGGACTGTGATAGGTAGATGATACGACCTCGCAACTCAAAGAACTTTCCGACTGATATCTTCCTCCAACATTGAACATGTCGTAGGAGCTCAAGGTTTCTAAACAAACGGACATATCAGCCTAAATGTCCATAAGCACTTAACCCGTAATCTAAATATTCCACCATACCTATGTCGATGCCACAGCAAGCATCACCTGCTGCGATCCTTTTGCTGCGGCATAGTGATCATTTCAGACATGTTTGCACTTAAACAATCTTCGTCTAAATTCTAATTCATCTTCAATCAGTGGCAAAGCGAATTACGATAGGCAAGTGGTTTCATTCACAATACCATAACAGCGAAAGAGCCATTGCAAACATACGAAAAAGTCGAAGTGCGAAAAAAAAAAACGAAATAGAAATGTGCCCACGACCATAAGAACGAGCATGACATATCCATCCATGTCAGATTAGTTTCTGCATAGGGTATTCAATAGTTTTCACAGATTCGCGTCATGGGCGTAATACCTATATGTGGTAACAAAACCACGAAGACTGTGTTCATATGGAAATGTCGGCTTCAGCCATTTCAGTAAGACATTTGTCAATTATGTGGGTGACTATAATGACTTTCTAATGAAGTAATAAACCACCCAGCTTACCTTTATGCAGTCTCTATGTTTCTTGGGACCCGGTCTCACCGCGGGATCTTCAGCAGCTGTCACAGAGTGCAAACTCACCCGGTGCACTTAGCGTCACTGGCTCTCAGGCTCACTTGACACACCACTGACAGAGCCCCTCAGCACATCACTCGACGCTGCAGACGGCTGTCTTGGTTCAGACAGAAGACTGTCTTGGTCTTGTCTTAGCCTAGTTCAGACTGTCTATAGTCTAGTTTGACCGTCCCCTGGCGCAGCGACCTTCGCTTTACTCACTGGATCTCAATTATTCACTGGTCTTCAGTTTGTGGCTGGTCCTCACTTCCCGTATCTGTGTGACCGTGTGTGTGTGTGTGTGGTGACTCAGTGTGCGCGTAACCGCACTGGCTGGTACCGATTGCTCCGAGTCATGGTCAGCCTGTGCTCAGCGCTCAGTCACTAGCTTCCATGATATGAGAAGCCTGCCGCTAGTCTTAGCACTATGTAGAAGGCAAATCAGCGCTCTGGGACCCACAGCACACGTAAGTTGACAGTCGATCTCAAGCACACAGGCCAGCGGTCCCAGGTTTCCCTGTGTGCTATACTGCTATTCGACAGTCACCAGCCAGCACCACTTCCCACCATCCACCTCTGATCACCAGCAGGTCACCAACAGCACCACTCTGGTCGTCGCTCGACCCCGGCACTAAGGCACCTGTAGCGGCCTCGTCCCGACCGGCGCGCGGGACCTCAGGCGTGTGCCGCCGATAGGCCCACTGCGCGGATCCGGCCAGATAGCGCGACACGGCCACACAGACATGGGACTGTTTGTGTCGCCATGGGCGCGCAGGCACGTTTAGGTGCATACACATGGGACGAGCTGCGCGCACTAGCGGAGATTTACGGCGTACGGGTATGTTGTGTAAATTGCGCACACACAAATAAGAACACACTGCGTGGTCACAAAATGAAACCTGAGAGCTGGGATGATTACTGAAAATGCACGCTACTCAAATGACCTTCGTCTCTGCTTTATCTGGCTAAAGTGGGTGGGGCGGGTCCCGCCCCCTCCTAAGAGGGCTTGCACGTTTTTTTTCACGGTTGTTCGGGACGCGCTCGCTGTAGTTGAAATTTGGGACACCTGACCCTTGATTCAAGCCAGATCTTAGACACCAACCACATTTTCAGGTCAGGTCAGGTCACCGACCTATGACGTCATGAGTGATGCTCTGCATGGTCCTAAAATGTCGGAACTTCGTAACGCCCTCAGAGCCAGAGGATCTTACACAGAAAGGTGAAACTTACAAGACTCAAGAGCCCAATTTGCCCCCTTTCCAACCGGAACTCTGCACAGAAACTCGAGCGTTCAACACGGCAAGAATTGTGAGAAAACATAGCATACTAGCCACTAGCCAGGTAGTATGTCGGATGACAACGAGTCGCGTGGCACAAATGAATTGCATCCTAAAAAGCACTCGTAAGTTATAACGCATGCAACCATGAATCACCCTTGGAATCTAATGGCCTAACATGATGCGACTTCCCATAACATAACGAGACATTCCTAAGCATTATGCAACTTAGCATTACGTTTGCAGAAAAAAAAAAACAATAAGCAGCCTTCCCTGACCTACAGCGGAAGTGAGCTTCCCACCACCCTCCCTCGCACACACATGCTCGAACGACACAATGCGTTACTCCCCACCCGGCCGGCGCGGGCACCTCGTCTGCCTGTCATTCTCAGCTGGCTGAGTCACCCGACCCATACCGACACAGGCTGCTGGCTTTTTACTGCCGTGTAAACGGACACAGGCGCCGGACCTGTACACAGCGCGTCGTATCGGTCGCAGGACAGGCGGCACGCACCTGTTTTGTGCACCGCCCGGCGATAGCCGACACATGCAGGGCACACGCGGCAGGCAGGGGCGGCCGGCGCACAAAGCACGCGGTCCCACGATAGGTTTTGTGGTATTGCGTTGGGTCTAACCAAGGCCAAAGCACAATGGTTCGACCGAACCCTTCGTCATGTCGACACATATCGGAATAAAGGCCGTTTTGATTTGGTGTCGCTTGTTTGCGCGAAAGGTACAACAGAGGGAGCAGTTAGGCACACCTGTTCGTCTGATAATGGGACTCGTGAATTGAACAGCTGAACGTGGGTCAGTGGAACGCGATACGAGCTACACAGGAACACACTACACTCGATATTTACTCAGGTGACACTTCATTACAGCTTCAAATCGCAGTTCATCAGAACCGCGATTTCTGCAATGCGACCTCTCTGTATGCTGGTCAAGCTGTTTGGGCAGAAAGAAATGACAGCAATGTAGCACACTCCTTATTGCGTCAATTTTTGAAATTTTACAGTTCCAGCAAGAAACCACTGAGTCTCCGAATAAAAATAGTTGAAACTAGAAACGAAACTATATAGTGCCGTCTCTTGAGTGCCAAAGTGGAAACAGCCAAGCCACAATCGAGAGACAAATCTAAGAAATAGAGACGAACGGGCCAACGGCTACAAACGCCGTACAAAAACCACGCTCCAGTCGATGACCAAACAAAATATAAAATCCGCTCGAAGGCGTTGTAGCTTCCCTACCGGGCCCGGAGTGAAATTTACGGCGTAATAGCTGTCACGGTACCCCGGGCACAAAGGAAGCGGTCAGCCCTGTACGACGGACATCGGGTCACTCACGGAAGTTGTGAACTCTGTCTTATATCCATCACCCCGCCGTGACGTATGGTACAGCTGTTCGGAAGACCACGCGTTTGTTAGATTTGGGACACCGATTCTGATGCGTAATTGCGGGGAAAGGACATGGTATCAGTTTGTTTGGTGGTATCTTGTGGAGAATTACAAAAGTGTCCACAAAGTACTTCACTGCCCACAAACAACCTAAAAAAGATAAAAGTGGAGTCGCTTCATATTTTCCCCCATCGTCATGCCTTGTTTTGCTCGCTGTGTTCAGTGTTCAGTTGCGGTGAAACACTATGCCAATACCAATTAATCGCAAAAAGTTTGGCAGTGCACATTTCTTCGAAAAAAAGGTTCGCGCCAATCCTGGAAATTGACAAAAATATCCCACTTCATGTAAAAATAGCAACAGCAAAGTGATCATTGTGTAACTTTGAAAGACTCATCAATCAGTGGTGAAATCAGAAATCATGAAAATCAGTGGTAAATTATCGTAATAAAAATGAGCTCAACTATTTTACTTCTAGCATTATCAAAATGAGATAAAGACATTGATGATTTCACTTGGTAAGTATATTGTCAACATAAATAATCATTAGGGAAGGGACGTAAAGTAGCGTCAATAGTGATAGGAGGTAGTGTTTCCTTATGACGTAAGTAGAATTGTTGTGTACATTCTGCTTGATAGCACAAGCAGCACAACGTTACTGGAGTGCAAGAGACAACTGAGAAAGAACATCACTGCATTACCTCAGTACCACCAGACTTCTCCATAAAGAAACTTCCACTGTTTTCAGCAAATTCATTTACGTTACTTTCTCTTCACCGACCGCGCGATAGAAAAGCTCAGGAGATCGCTGACTTGTATCGTGCGCCGTCACTGCAGGCTGGAGTAGATGAACTCGACTGCGTGGTCGATGTTGCCCTCGGAGACGAGCAGCGCCTGGCGGACCAGCGCCTCGCTGTCGGTGATACCCAGTTCCAGCAGCTGCCGCACCGCCGCCTCGTCCACCGCCTGGCGGTGAAATGGAGAAGCTGTGGTACCGGACACGGCCGACAGGGGAGAGCAGTACGACTAGCGGGTGGGGTTCGGGCGAATAGCAAAATTTATGAAAAGCTGACCATCAGCTCATCTCACTAACTTATTTGTCGTTAAGATTTACATTAATCATCATCAACAAATATAGCCAAGGTATCCGTTAAAATGTACCATGTAGGATCTCCCTACAAGTCAAGCGTAATAATGCTACGAACTAGTAACTACCCAGTACACACCTATCTAGGTCATTACGAAGAATCCCTATAGCTGATATCATCAAGTGTTAAGCAGAACCCAAAACCTCTTCTTCTAAAGCCCCCTCTCTCACCGGTGACTGATGAGCGGCCTCCTCCCGCACAGGAGCCGCCGGCTGAGGAACGGGAGCAGCAGCAGACGGGGGCGGCTGGGGCTGACTAGCCTGAGCAGCCGGCGGTGTCCGCTGGGCTCCAGGGAGTGCACGCATCGCCTCTCTGAGGGCGGCGCTGACCATCTCTGGTGAGATCACTCCGAGCGGCTGCTGCTGCTGCGGAGCCGGGGCCGGGGTAGATACCGTAGCCGGAGCCGGAGCCGGAGCCGGAGCCGGAGCCGGAGCGGGCTGCTGTCTGACGGCAGCCGGAGCCCGGGTCTGTCGTCCACCAGCACTCCCGGCAGCCCCCGAAGCCTGAGCAGCGGCGGCGGCCGCAGAAGCCAGGTTGGGTACTGCGGCCGCCAGCGCCGAGGCCAGCTGCTCCCGGGTGATGGGAGGTGCCGCTGCGCCGCCGGCCGCCGCCGCAGGCTCGTCGTCACCGTCGTCGTCATCGAATGAGCCTGTTGGATGGGTAAAGACTAGGGTGAGAACTGTGCGACGGGCTCAGGACAGGTGTCGCATTCTGGGGGTGCCGTGACGAGATAAAGTAGGGGAGAACCGGGAGGTATGGGCCGGTTTTGTGAAAAGGCAATTTTCTTCCAGTGGGCAGTGGCTAGACCCGGTTTGTCGCTCTGTGCACGTGAAATTGCCTTTCGCCTGCAAAGTGTGCCTGATATTAGGCATCTGGGATCAACTATTTTGCCTCGAGATAACTTTTAAAAAATGTGCTTTTTCGATCCACCAAAACATACCGGGAGGTATGGGCCATAGCCCGGGAGGTATGGGCCGGTGCCATGTTTCATATTCTTTTCTCCACAATGAGAACAATACTCGTAGCTGGTATCTACCTTAACCCGCGCCGGGCCGGTGCTCTGAGATTCCGCGCCGGGCCGGGGGGGGGGGGGGGGGGTGTGTCTGAACACCCCCCCTTCTAACTCGGCTCCTGGGCCATGTAGCGACACGCGGTAAGCGGCAATCGAAAGAACGTCTAAAATAAGGACGAAAACACTTCAGTCATTTTTTGGGTCAGGTCAAAGGTCTGGTCATCAGAGGTCACCAAAGGTAAAATGTTGACTATTTCAACATTTTGAAAACTGCCAACGGCTATCTCGGGAACCGATAGAGCTACAGCGCCGCGGAAAAGTCCATTCGATAGCCCTTTTACAGACCTTTCTGGGTAATCTTCTCAGATTTGACCTCAGGTCAACGGTTTAGCCTCCAGAGGGTAAAAACTCCAAAAATAGCCGTTTTACGAAAAACGTTTTTTTTTTCGGCAATGACTGTTGACTCAAAAGAGCCATGACATTACTTTTGCCAGCATCGTGTTCCTCTCGTCGAGACGCGTCGAATGAACTACAAGTTGACCTTGAAAGTTAAACTTGAAAATTTGACCTCAGGTCAAGGTCATGACCTGACCGGAAAAGGTCATGTTGCATATCAGTCGATCCGCAACGTCGAGCCGAACACATCTAAGGCGTTTTCAGCGCTCTAGCACGCCTCTATCAGAAGTTATTAGCGAAAAACTGTTAGATTCTGTTCGTGACCTGAGATGAGCTCGGGTACATAACGAGGGGTCACAGTTGCCATTTTCCGGTTCAGTGTGTCAATTTTACCTACATCTTGATGTTTGAGAGTGTCTAGAATGGCGTTCGTGCAAAACAGACGCTTTTCAATTTTCTTCCATTGAATTATAATGGAGAGGCCGCAAAATTGACCTGACCTTAGGTCACCAATACCAAAATTCCGAGATATACATTTTATAGATAATGTTGTTCTAATCAATGGCTGAAAGTTTCAAGGCAATCGATCAATCGGTGTAGCTATGACGAGCATTCTTATTTTTTCTGAGGTGAGGTCACTTGGCGTGACCTGGTGACCTGACCTTAGATGACCTGGGTCTGAAATTTTCACAACATGTGCGGAAAATATGCACGAACAGGTGTGCCAAAAACAGCGGCGCTTCGCGCCGCCGTTTTTGAGATATCTGCGAAAAACCGCAGGGGGGGGGGTGTTCAAACACCCCCCCGGCCCGGCGCGGGTTAATCTCTCTTAGAGCCCAGGCACCGCATAAGCGGCCAACAGCTTACTTCATGGAGGTCACTTGGGCACATACGCATTTTGGTAAACTCAATAATGCGCCATGAAATAAATTAAATAATATTTTTTTTTCTGTTCGAATGAAATTTGAAGTTAAATTAACTATCAACCTTGCGCGACAAAAATAAAACTTATTGAAGATGACAGTCAATCAAAGCATCTTTTTATTGATTTAGGATCAACTGGGGTGGGTGGCCCGAACCTCCCGGCTATGACGCCAGAATTTGCGTAGCATCTCAGCTCATAATCTTGCAAGAAAGCTTCGAATTGTCTATCCAGTCTTAATTTATATGCTTTAATTTTTATGTTAGCATCGATCTGACATCATAAAACGACCCTGGTTCAAATTTATCACGAATTTTCTGTATGTACAGTATTTTACTCAAAGAGGGCAAAAACGCTTTATCACCGCTCACTGCCAGAGAAGACTGTGGAAGATTTTGAAAATCCCGTGGGTTGTATAACGGAATGGCTGCTACCAGTTTACACGGTCAAATGTGTACAAATACGCAACACTTCTTCAAAACTGCGATGGCCCATACCTCCAAGGGGCCCATACCTCCCGGGTCTCCCCTACTTGTAAACAACTGATAGGTTAGAAACAAGCAATCCATTGATTTTTGTATGTTTCGCTCTTTATTTTTTACTGCTGTTACATTTTTTAATTCAGTTTAAAGTATTGTGAACTGCGGTTGAGTGAAGGGTTAACAGTCTTAGCGTAATTCAATGGTGAGACGTATGAAGATTGACACGATTATTAACCTTCAGTCCTTCAGCCTCATAAAAATATCACACTTCATCACACTGCCACAAGACCCTTCCCTTCAATAGGTTCACATTATAATATACGAGACCCAATGTACGGTAACTCGTAACTCCTAAACAGCGATCAGCTGAGACCGCAATCTTCAGTGTTCCCGTCCCCTACACCCCATTTTCTCACCCTGCTCCATGGGACGCTCCTCGGCGACTCTGGGCGCCGCCCGCGAGTCGGACGGGCCGGGCCGGCCTCTCTCCGTGCCAGAGGAGCCCTCGCCGAGCAGAGCGGCCAGCTGAGAGGCAGCGGTGGCCAGCACCGGGTGGGCAGCCACCAGACTGGAGACGAGAGAGGGAGAGGGGATGTCAGCCGGGCGGTCACGTAACGATACGGGCTGAAGGTCAACGCGGGGTATAAGAGTGAAACCAACCTAGATGGGTTGAAGAGGAAGATGGACAGAAAAAAGAAGCAATAAGGGGCGGTGCACACATTGATGAGTGGTGAAATGCAGTGCAGGACACCTCATTCATAGACCTCTGACTGGTGTACAGAGGTCTATGCCGCATCATTACCGACGTGAGAAATGTAGCATGTGATTATTACACCACTCTATCTAGCAATGCACTGAGTATGCAGACTGTAGAGCCCTCTTTAGAGCAGGCTCGCATGAAACGATCGCCCGGAATGGTAGCAGTCAGATCATTTTTCAGATTTTTCGTAAGAAACATGTCAAAAGCATCATGTACTGTAGTGTAGGCTGCATGCGAAGTTTCGTCAGCAATGTTTAGCAATGACGATTACATAACCTTCTTGATCACTTCGCAGGTCTCCGCACTAAATCACTATCAACATCACACTGCATGATAAAACCACTCACCGTTTGACGTTGGTGCGCGGACTGGCGACCTGGAGCAGCAGACCGGGCTCCTGGAGCAGGGCTAACGCGATGGGGTCGTCCTCCAGCCCCGGCACGGCGGCCAGCAGACGGTCCAGCGTCTCCGGGCGCACCAGACGCTGCTGTAAGGGGAGACGTGGGGTGAGACGATGATGTATGGGAATATGTAAGAGTGAGACGATGCTTTAGGGAAAGAGAGGGAAGTTGAGACACTAAAGTAGGGGTAGATAGATGATGGGGAAGGGGATGGCAGATGGGGGGGGGGGGGGTAAACAAAGACACGCTGAGGTGGGAGGGATGTGACGACACCATACGTTTCTGTGGGAGAGAAAACAAGATACGCTGCTGACGGGGAGGAGGAAATGCAATACTGGTATAAAGAAGGGGAAAAGAGATGTCGGACGTCGGTGTGGGATGGAAAGGGCGAATGGGACTTTTTTAACAACCAAAATGGATACTAGTGAATCTAAATGAAACCAAACCTAACACACCTCTCGCTATCTCACAACAGACCAAATTCTCCCCAGCTCACACACAAAGACTGAACACCTCACTGCCGCGGGTAGCTCAGTCCGGCGCGGAGTAACTCCTGGCACGGCGACTGCCGGAGCTGCCGCCGGGCGTCGAGCCGTGGTGGGGCCGACGTCGGAGTCGATGCGTGGGCGGCGGCGGAGCCAGACAGGCGCCTGGCCCGCCGCCCGACGGAGGGGTGGGTGGGGAGGGGAGGGGTCGACGGATACGACGAACAGCTGGGACGGATACGACACGGTGACGAAACGGAAACTCCCGGAACTCGGAAGGTGTTGTGAAAACACAGAATCAGGTAAAATAAACATGAATCGCTTTCAGTGGAATAAAGGAAAGTATTATGTTCTGGGAAAAGGAAAGGATAATATTCTGGATACGGTAATGGTCTATCTCTTTATGAAAAAACTTAAACGTGACGATAAAGATCTGATCTAGGCAATAAGAGGCAACGTTTGGTAAACTGCGTTTAGCAAGTACGGTGCATACTAATTACCTGAAAAATATCCGCCCGTACATTTAGACAGTCCTCCCTAATGTATTCTATCATCCCAACCCATCAAACCATGTCCACAACCCTACTGCCCCCTTACCCATACCATCGCAGCCCGCCCCTCCCGTGCCAACCCCCACTTACCGTGAACGCATGTCGGCGCACCGGATCCTGGGTATGGCGCTGGAGCGTCCAGGCCAGCTGAGTGCCGTCGGCAGGCTCCGTGGGCGCCGCAGCCGCCGCTGTACGTGAAAAGGACGGCGAATGTGTCATGTTTAACGGGATGTTAGTCGGGGGCGAGGGCGACACTATAGTGGTGGAGTTAGCCTAGTGAATGGAATACTACCTAGCGTGAAAATGTACAATATGAAACTGGTTCGAATTTATTGTATAGCTAAGACTAGCGAACAGCAGAAGTCGCCAAATCTGATAACTGCTGGCATTCGACCACCAAAACATTACTGACTTGTATCAATGGCACAATGCAGCCGCTGATCACATGAACCACTGAACTACTTCTAAGACCTTAAAAGTCAATCAACGACAACACATTTGTCCTTAGTCTCAGTGCCCAGCATTAATTACCTCAGATGACACAATATACTCCATGGAGTCTATGTAGACCATTTACCTCACAAACAACGGTGCACGAAATGTCCGCAGCCCGTTCCTCTAAGTCTCCCGTAGGCCCTTCTCACCAGTATCGGCATCTGCCGGCCGCCGGAAGCCGTGTAGAACGCTGGCGGCACTCAGTTCGTACGAGCTCAGCGGCCGGTCATCGAGCAGTGGCCGGCCGCGGTACACCAGCTCTGCAGACGACAGGGACGACGCGCCGTCAGCGGGGTGGGTGGGGTACCGTTCTTCATGTCGTTCTTCAACAGACAGTGGGAGAGGGGTGTGATGTGACTCCTCCATAGACAGGGCACCAGCGACAGGCAGCCAGAGAGCAACAGTTGGCGTGGGGATTTCGATAAGCATTTTAGGACGATTGGAATCGGAACCGCACGATGCGTTATTATGAAATTCCCGTTAGGCAAAATCATTTAATCATATCGTCTGAAATGTAATAAATGCTTATCAGGTTTGAAAATGCTTTCAAGGGTCTTGTTGCATATAAAGAGCGCTACACAATGGTTGAAATACATTTAGCATCCATCTCACTGGAAAGAACGCGTCTACAAATAAAGTGACCCCCTCCACCTCTAAACTTGCAACCAAAAGGAGTGCCAGCTACACCATTCACAGCAGACAACTCACCGAGCTGACTGGGCGTGAGGCCGAGCATGTGCGCGGCCGTCGAGCGCACCGCCTGTATGGGCTGGGTGAGACACGAGGGCGGCAGCTGGACTGTCTCCTTCCCGACCCCGTCCGCCGACCGGCAGCAGAAGCGTACAGAGACCATCGTCAACGGCGCAACTCTACCTGGAACATAGCACGCAGCTGAGTCAGCACAGCAGCCTCAGGGGTGTCTGTTCAAAGGATAAGATAGGCAGGTAGCTGTATATAATCTAACCATTCTAACCTGACCTCAAACCACAGCCCACTGTCTGCATCTTACAACGCCTTATTCAATGAGAATTCAATGAGTATGTAACCCGTTGGTATAACGTAATGTGTAATAACTTAAAACATAACTAAGTAAACACCCTCTCCCCGAATGAGCTTATCATGAAGTTATCATCAATCATTGGAACACATGTGCTCGCCGCTTAGTAATAAATGCAGGAACGAGCGAACGAGCGAACGAATGTATGAATGAATAAATGAATGAATAAAACATTTCGCCGAATGAACTGATTCTGGAGTAATTATAATTATCGATCAACTGCACCGAATGCACGTATGAACTCGATAATCAGCAGCGCCCATCAAAACTTCCTCCCAAAGAGATCGCGTACGACACAGCTCAGGGAAGCAATCGAAGACTGGACCACCACCATCGAATACGGTTACGACGTCGACTTTATCTACTTGGGCTTTGCCAAGGCCTTCGACTCTGTGCAGAGTCGGTGGGGCGGCTGCCCCACCAGCTTGCCATTTTCCCTCACCAATAAGCGTTTTGCCACACCAATAAGCGTTTTGCCCCACCAGCTTAAGCTAATTTGCAGGACTTTGCTGATTAGCAAACCAATCTTTTTCGCATTGAGAAGCTTTGAACTTTCTGTGAATCTTTGTAATGCAAAATATTATCCATGTAATGAAAAAAAATGATTCATTGTTGTATTTTATCTAACTTAACAATCGAACATTGTAGGTTTGACAGCTTTTTGTCCCCGAACTTCCCTGGAAAGCTCCACCCATGCCGATAACGTCCAGGTCAACTTCGACACGATCATCCACTGGCCTGAATATGGCTGCTCCCATTCAATGGTCGAAAATGCAAGGCGATTTTAATTAGAGCACTTCACGGATAGGTTTTTAGGATCCGGCCCGGCCCATATCCGGCAAGTCATATCCAGATCCGCCCATTATCCGCCTTTCTTTGAATATCAGAATCCAGCCCACCCATGGCCCGTATTGCAGCCAAACTTCCAAAAAATATCCGTAATAATCCGTTTCACCAATAACTGGTTTCACCCAAAACTGGACTAACAAATTCAATCTAAGGGACCAGACAGCCATACATCTCACAGACCATCATGATGCCTATTACTTTAATCAAACCTCTGCTGCCGCTTAACACATTAGGTTAATTTTTAACTTCAATGTTGAATGTTAAAATTTTGATCCGTTTTGATCCGGGTTCAACCTTCAATTCCCAAATCCGGCCCGCCCATATCCGTTCTTTTTTAACAAATTTAGAATCCAATCCTATCCGGTCCGCGGATTTATCCGTGGATAACGGATTTATCCGGCCCATGAAGTGCTCTAATTTTAATCCAGCTGGGATTACAAACCCGGCTGGATTTTAATCCTGATCCCGATCCCAAAATTTTGTCAATCCCGGGCAATGTCCCAAAATTTGTCTATTTGGGTGGGAAACGACATCCAAATGAAATTCATTTTCCACTCTCACCACCATTTTTAAGAACAATTTTCCTAGGTGTTGTTTGCAAAAGATGACTCACTGCAAAATGACTCACTGCAATGACTCACTGCAAAAGATGACTGATGTGATCACTGTCAACCGTGGAAGCCGTATGGCTACCCATCTACGCTGGAGTACGAAAAACATCATCTCACAAGAACAATTTTCCACTCCCAAGTCCCAACCAAGAAAACATCGATTTTTTACCTATAGAAAGACAGTTGTGTGGATGCCCAGTTAGCATCAAACATTCAACACCCTAGAATAAAATGCATGCTTTTTGTCATTTCTCACTCCTTTTGGATCTAATCGAATCAGCAGTTTTCCACTCTCTCCCCTCTTTTTGGTGGGTAATTTTCCCCTCTGACACCCAAGACAAAACTCAATTTTGGGACACTGATCCCGGGATCCCGAAAAAAATAGTTTTTCATAAAAAAGGGGATGCAGCCGCTGCATGAGTCATGTTTAAACGGTTCATAATATTGCGTGATATGAAGCAGATAAATTATTTAGCTGACACTCCGTATTGGCCGTCCACAATCGACCGTGTTGGTAGGTAGCTCCCGGGTATCACCCACAGCGGATAAGCCGCTTAAATACGTACGAAAAACGGTCTCCGAACGCCAAAAAATTGCAGCATCAGTGCTGCAGCATCGTCATCAGGATTATGGATCGTTCAGCGATTCTGACTTGTCCGTCCGTGGCCGAAAAAAAAAGAGGTCAAAACAGTCGTTGAGATGTCAGATTGAGCAGAAAGATGTCACAGATGTCACGCAAGTGACGCCAGAGCTCACTGATTTATACGTTGAAGACGGCAGGGTGGAGCTTTCCCAGTCAAATTGACTCTGCCCTCAAAGCGAATTTGCAGCAAAGTCTGCGGAAAATTAGTGATGAAAGCGGAACCGGAAGGAGGTGAAATGGCCAAGCGACGTCTTGAAAACATTGTGAAATAGGAGGCTGCCAAATTTGGCATACACTGGTCGCAAGTTTTACAATTGACAGACCTACCATCAATGGTAGTCGGAACCCGTCTCAATGACGAGACAGTAAACGTACTGGGCCCTGTTTCACCGGTGATAGCAGCACGCTGCTTTTACACGTGTCAAATTGGGTTTCCATGGAAACATCAACAGGCCCATTGCCCCAACACTACCACAAGTGTGACGTCAGCTCACGCGATTTGATAACAGCGTGGTAGCAGCGTCCCGTGAAACACCGCCTTGGCCAACGCACAGACTTATAAAGGTCAATTGGGAAAAATGCTAGTCAAATTGAAATGCTTTCTTCACAAATACAAGCGTTTTTAATGCAAAGGACATGGTCTAAGGATGGCTTTTGGTTGCCTCTTTGTTTGTAGTAAGCTAAAAGACGCAAATCTGTCAGTAGAAAATAATTCTTACAACCTTTTGTAAAAAGACCGGGATCCCGGAATCCCGCAAAAAACTTTTGGGATCACGGGATCAGGCACCAAGACGTAGAGACTAGAGATGGTGCTGGCCCGTGCCCGCAAAGCCCTCCCGTTCCCAGCTGCCAGCCCAGGACTGGGGACATGACAAGCTGACAAACTGGGAAGTGGGAGTCGGTCACAGTCTCTCAGCTACGTACCAGGTGCTCACCAGTAAAGTGACCATCCTAGCTAATAGCTTAGCATTAGTTTTGAGTTGAGATGGCCAAATTGTGGTCCCATGTTTGCCATTACTGGTTTGGGCACTCACAACATCAATAAATGCAACAACGTACGGTCAACTAAATCACTTTTGTGCCAATTCATTAATTTCTTGAAAGTGGCAGGGTAAGAGGCTTAATTCTGACATGAATAAGATTCTAACTTTCAGTGCAAATAATAAAGAAATTTCAGGGAAGTTGTATCATTCATACCCCTACACGGAAGCATGATGCCTGCCACACGACTACTGATTTCAGTGCAAAATCACTTGCACCAAAGATTGGCATAGACAGATTTGTATTTCAGACTAACAGTCCATTGCTATGAGTTGATGATGAATGTACCAGATGGATGATGGATAAACAACAACAAACATCGATTAAGGCACACTCCCAATCGATGTACATTCTTTCAGGGCATATCAATACGAAGGTCTCAAAATGCCCTACTTATATAACTCAAACTCTCTCAGGAGAGTTATATGCTTTGCTCCCAGAAAAAAATAATGTGTGATGGTTTCATCTAAAAAGGTGAAATTGAAATAAATCACCAACCTTCCGAATCCGTTATGTTAAGTGGTAAAACCACGGTTGGGTAAAACAAAACGTTCAGTGTTGGTTCAGTGGGTAAGACGGTAAAACGGGTAAAACAGTTCTATAGCCTTGGGTAAAACGCACTGTTTTACACACAATATGCTGCGCGCCCTATCTCTTCAACAACAACATACAACATTGCCCTAATAGACACCATACAACACACAATATACGCGGGGTCCGACTTGCAAGTATTTGTAACAACTGCGCCATTTTTACTTCCGTTACATGGAATTATGTATTTGTTTATTCTTATGTCTTGATTTATTATATAATTTGAAGGCAAGTAAGCAAAACAAATTGTATGCAACGGTTTAATGAACAAAAACAAATATAAAATGCCTAGTTATTATGAAAAGGTCATGGGTATAGCGAAAATGTTAAGAAACTATTTGTTATCGAATGAAGACAGCAGGAACAAAGAGGAAAGAAACTTCCAGATTCCGACCAATCATCTTCCACCGAATGCCTAACGTCATCAAACGTATATATACCACGTAAAGGGCGGAGAGGCACTAGTTTGCGTCGAGAAGAGCGGTAGTGAGCGTCGCGGCGTTTGAGAAATCTTTGAGTTGAGGCGTCATAAGTTGCGGAGGTTAGTACAAATTGGTTTTGGAAGAGGATTAGTTTGTTTGCTTAATTTTTCATCAATGTAAGCTTTCAATGCATGTCTGCGTTTAATCTCAACATTTTTTGCCCCTTGTATGTTTTTCGACTTAGCATGCGGGCGACAGAATGTCACTGCTCATCCAAGCTCCTAAGCTCATTTCTCCGCCACATCTTTTAATCTTGACACTTTTCCAATTTCGAGAGGAAATTTGATATCTTAATCTAGGCGAGGCTCTGATATACAATTTGTAAGGGAATCATTCACTTTCCAGTGATGTTGTTTTGCAAATGATATCTGATTGTTTAGGCTTAAAGTTATCAGTAAATAAAACTTGACAATAATTTTATTTTGTATTTCTCATAAAGGAAGCACTGCTCTATAAAATATCATTGAATAATGTTTGACGCATAAGCTTATTGCTTATGCACTGACCAATCACATTGTGTAGTTCAAACCTATGCATGCAGCATTGGCTATACCTATAAGCAGCATGCTGATCGGCTGACGATGACATGGCTGAATCCCTCAGCAAGGCACATATTCCCCTACAGGGCACTCTTTCAGAACTAGAAATATCTTGCCTTGGCTGATTGTTAAGCCGTATTAGCTCCTGATATGTGCTAGTCTCTGCTCAAGCTATGTTATTGCTATTTCAGTTCAAACCCCCATGTTAACCCTAGAACGCCTAGGGGGGGGTTGTATCAACCCCCCCCCCCCGAGGTTTTTTCCGAAGTGCACGCTAAACGGCTTGTCGTAGCAGGCTGAAATTTTTAATACCCTCTGGGGCAACCTTTGCGCATCTTTTGCCGAAAAAATTGATCGGGTCATGTCAGGTCACGGAGTTATGACGTCATAAGAGGTACAGCCTCCGGCCGACAGTTACCAAACGTGTGCGCCGAATCCCTAGGTTTTCTGCCGGTGATACCCACATTGTTTGATGGATCATGATGAAACTTCCCATGCATGTTGGGGCAAGCATTGGCTATCGTGTGGTGCAAGAAATTTGACCGGGTCAGGTCAGGTCACGGAGCTATGACGTCACAAGAGGAACAGCGTCCGGTACTATTTTTGAAAAGCGCCCGAACCACTATTTTGCTAATTCTTGTCACCTCAATGGGAATATGCAGCAATATTAGCTTCTATAGGGAGCAAATGGACCTCCCAAATCAAAAAATACAATCAGATTTCAATTTCAAAAATTTAAATTTTGATTTTTCGAATTTCTGCCGCCGACTGTGACCTTGCCGACTTCCGGCGCTCCCGACTCGCCATTTTTAGAGCTAGGGAAACGAAATACATACCAAACGATAGAGAATTGATCAAGGAACACGATAGTGAAGGTTTCAAGTCGATATCTCCCACCGTTTTGCCGCAATCGCCGCGGAAAGTTGAAAAAGTTTGATTTTTTCGGAAAATTTGACCTTTGACCGGTCATAAGTAGGTGAAATGTTGACCTAGGACCAAAAAATATACCACCAATCGCGAGGTCTCGTTGAGAGCAATCCGTTGGTTTTTTCCGCTAAGCTCTACGACCTTCCGTTTCGAAACGCCAGGGGGGGGTCGTAACAACCCCCCCCCCCCCTGGTCGTTCGTGTTATGAGAAATGGCCTGGTCGTGCGAGGGTTAAAATGCTGTGCTGAAGGTTTTTAAAGATGTTGTTTTCTTTGGAATCCCGAATTCACTTATAAAAAGCATGAAACTGAGAGGGAGGTTAATTTTCTTTCTGTTTCTACATGATAGCATTGCTAAATCAGATTTGAATAGCAATGGCATGTAAGGGAAATTGAGGATAAGAAGTGTCTTAGAATAATAAATGATTTCAATTTTCAATTAGGTTTTTATGCATAAATAAAGTCCCCTCCCTAGTTGAGTGCATAAAAGTGCTGCTGGAATTAGACGCTTAGCTGGTGGGGAGAGCCCGGTTTAAGCGCTGGTGCTGGCGGCCACATTTAGCTCTGACGCGTAATGGTGTGCGTGTCTGGCAGGGGCCACACAGCAGGTTGCGAAATACCCCAGCAACTGCTGGGTTAATGCCTGTTTCCTTAGATGCTGCCATGACAAAAACGATTTTTATTAAGATTATTTAAGTAAATAATCAAGTATTTTGTTCTGTAATGCACAAGCTTACAACTCTGTATAGTATATGAAATGAGCTCAAATGTTTTGCTATTCCAACTTCCAAAATTCATAACAAAAACCTCAACCTGCAACTGAAGGTTTGCTATCTTAATAGAATCTACAGCAGCCAGGGGTGCGGAGCCGGAGTTGGAGCCGGAACCGGCATATTTTACCCGGAGCCGGAGCCGTGAAACAATATAACTCGGAGCCGGAACCGTAAGAAAAGAGGCGACTCCGGCTCCTACTTTTGGAGAGAACATTATTGACCTAGTTCGGTTTGACAACAGTTGAGCTTTGACAGGCAGGCAGTAAAATATGCGGTATTCAAAATATGAAAATAGCCTTGTTATGCAAATATAGAAGCAGCGTGCACCATTCCCATTGTCTTTTTTTCTTCCACCCATATTTAATTGCATAGGGGATGAACAGATTATTGGAGCCGGAGCAGGATCATTTTACTCGGAGCCGGAGCCGACACGGCATTTCACCCGGAGCCGGAGCCTTCTGAATTTTCTACAGTTCTGCATCCCAGACAGCAGTAAATGATATCCATTGATGAGAATGAATTGATAGTGGTGCAGAGTAGCTAAACTCTAGATTAGGAAGAAGCCATTTTTTTGTCATCCTGGGTCCCCATGACAACATATCTAGCATCAATCAACCAGGCTTTGGGGTAATGTGAGTCACTAAAACAATAACAATTCTACACTGTCCTTGCAAGTACTGTGATCCTGATCCAAGTGACCTTTTTCGGCCCAGAATAGCAACGTGACGTATGATAGATCACACCTGCCTATTGAGACCTGTTGCATGTTGCATATGGCGCAAAGTGTGACAATAATCTTTGATTTTGTTTCAGATGCAGATCTTTGTGAAGACTCTCACTGGCAAGACCATCACACTTGAAGTTGAGCCTTCAGATACAATTGAAAATGTGAAGGCCAAGATCCAGGACAAGGAGGGCATCCCTCCCGATCAGCAGCGTCTGATCTTCGCCGGAAAGCAGCTGGAAGATGGTCGGACCCTCTCGGACTACAACATCCAGAAAGAGTCTACCCTTCACCTGGTTCTCCGGCTACGTGGTGGTATGCAGATCTTCGTGAAGACGCTGACCGGCAAGACCATCACGCTCGAGGTCGAGCCCTCCGACTCGATCGAGAACGTCAAGGCCAAAATCCAGGACAAGGAGGGCATCCCTCCCGATCAGCAGCGTCTGATCTTCGCCGGAAAGCAGCTGGAAGATGGTCGTACCCTCTCCGACTACAATATTCAGAAGGAATCTACCCTTCACCTGGTTCTCCGGCTACGTGGTGGTATGCAGATCTTCGTGAAGACGCTGACCGGGAAGACCATCACGCTCGAGGTCGAGCCCTCCGACTCGATCGAGAACGTAAAGGCCAAGATCCAGGACAAGGAGGGCATCCCTCCCGATCAGCAGCGTCTGATCTTCGCCGGAAAGCAGCTGGAAGATGGTCGGACCCTCTCGGACTACAACATCCAGAAGGAGTCGACCCTTCACCTGGTTCTCCGGCTGCGTGGTGGTATGCAGATCTTCGTGAAGACGCTGACCGGGAAGACCATCACGCTCGAGGTCGAGCCCTCTGACTCGATCGAGAACGTCAAGGCCAAGATCCAGGACAAGGAGGGCATCCCTCCCGATCAGCAGCGTCTGATCTTCGCCGGAAAGCAGTTGGAAGATGGTCGGACCCTCTCTGACTACAATATTCAGAAGGAGTCTACCCTTCACCTGGTTCTCCGGCTGCGTGGTGGTATGCAGATCTTCGTGAAGACGCTGACCGGTAAGACCATCACGCTCGAGGTCGAGCCCTCCGACTCGATCGAGAACGTCAAGGCCAAGATCCAGGACAAGGAGGGCATCCCTCCCGATCAGCAGCGTCTGATCTTCGCCGGAAAGCAGCTGGAAGATGGTCGGACCCTCTCCGACTACAACATCCAGAAAGAGTCTACCCTTCACCTGGTTCTCCGGCTGCGTGGTGGTATGCAGATCTTCGTGAAGACGCTGACTGGCAAGACCATCACACTCGAGGTCGAGCCCTCCGACTCGATCGAGAACGTCAAGGCCAAGATCCAGGACAAGGAGGGCATCCCTCCGGATCAGCAGCGTCTGATCTTCGCTGGAAAGCAGCTGGAAGATGGTCGGACCCTCTCCGACTACAACATCCAGAAGGAGTCTACCCTTCACCTGGTTCTCCGGCTGCGTGGTGGTATGCAGATCTTCGTGAAGACGCTGACCGGGAAGACCATCACGCTCGAGGTCGAGCCCTCCGACTCGATCGAGAACGTCAAGGCCAAAATCCAGGACAAGGAGGGCATCCCTCCCGATCAGCAGCGTCTGATCTTCGCCGGAAAGCAGCTGGAAGATGGTCGTACCCTCTCGGACTACAACATCCAGAAAGAGTCTACCCTTCACCTGGTTCTCCGGCTACGTGGTGGTATGCAGATCTTCGTGAAGACGCTGACCGGGAAGACCATCACGCTCGAGGTCGAGCCCTCCGACTCGATCGAGAACGTCAAGGCCAAGATCCAGGACAAGGAGGGCATCCCTCCGGATCAGCAGCGTCTGATCTTCGCCGGAAAGCAGCTGGAAGATGGTCGGACCCTCTCCGACTACAACATCCAGAAAGAGTCTACCCTTCACCTGGTTCTCCGGCTACGTGGTGGTATGCAGATCTTCGTGAAGACGCTGACTGGCAAGACCATCACGCTCGAGGTCGAGCCCTCCGACTCGATCGAGAACGTCAAGGCCAAGATCCAGGACAAGGAGGGCATCCCTCCCGATCAGCAGCGTCTGATCTTCGCCGGAAAGCAGCTGGAAGATGGTCGGACCCTCTCGGACTACAACATCCAGAAGGAGTCTACCCTTCACCTGGTTCTCCGGCTGCGTGGTGGTATGCAGATCTTCGTGAAGACGCTGACCGGCAAGACCATCACGCTCGAGGTCGAGCCCTCCGACTCGATCGAGAACGTCAAGGCCAAGATCCAGGACAAGGAGGGCATCCCTCCGGATCAGCAGCGTCTGATCTTCGCCGGAAAGCAGCTGGAAGATGGTCGGACCCTCTCGGACTACAACATCCAGAAGGAATCTACCCTTCACCTGGTTCTCCGGCTACGTGGTGGTATGCAGATCTTCGTGAAGACGCTGACCGGGAAGACCATCACGCTCGAGGTCGAGCCCTCCGACTCGATCGAGAACGTAAAGGCCAAGATCCAGGACAAGGAGGGCATCCCTCCCGATCAGCAGCGTCTGATCTTCGCCGGAAAGCAGCTGGAAGATGGTCGGACCCTCTCGGACTACAACATCCAGAAGGAGTCGACCCTTCACCTGGTTCTCCGGCTGCGTGGTGGTATGCAGATCTTCGTGAAGACGCTGACCGGGAAGACCATCACGCTCGAGGTCGAGCCCTCTGACTCGATCGAGAACGTCAAGGCCAAGATCCAGGACAAGGAGGGCATCCCTCCCGATCAGCAGCGTCTGATCTTCGCCGGAAAGCAGTTGGAAGATGGTCGGACCCTCTCTGACTACAATATTCAGAAGGAGTCTACCCTTCACCTGGTTCTCCGGCTGCGTGGTGGTATGCAGATCTTCGTGAAGACGCTGACCGGTAAGACCATCACGCTCGAGGTCGAGCCCTCCGACTCGATCGAGAACGTCAAGGCCAAGATCCAGGACAAGGAGGGCATCCCTCCCGATCAGCAGCGTCTGATCTTCGCCGGAAAGCAGCTGGAAGATGGTCGGACCCTCTCCGACTACAACATCCAGAAAGAGTCTACCCTTCACCTGGTTCTCCGGCTGCGTGGTGGTATGCAGATCTTCGTGAAGACGCTGACTGGCAAGACCATCACACTCGAGGTCGAGCCCTCCGACTCGATCGAGAACGTCAAGGCCAAGATCCAGGACAAGGAGGGCATCCCTCCGGATCAGCAGCGTCTGATCTTCGCTGGAAAGCAGCTGGAAGATGGTCGGACCCTCTCCGACTACAACATCCAGAAGGAGTCTACCCTTCACCTGGTTCTCCGGCTGCGTGGTGGTATGCAGATCTTCGTGAAGACGCTGACCGGGAAGACCATCACGCTCGAGGTCGAGCCCTCCGACTCGATCGAGAACGTCAAGGCCAAAATCCAGGACAAGGAGGGCATCCCTCCCGATCAGCAGCGTCTGATCTTCGCCGGAAAGCAGCTGGAAGATGGTCGTACCCTCTCGGACTACAACATCCAGAAAGAGTCTACCCTTCACCTGGTTCTCCGGCTACGTGGTGGTATGCAGATCTTCGTGAAGACGCTGACCGGGAAGACCATCACGCTCGAGGTCGAGCCCTCCGACTCGATCGAGAACGTCAAGGCCAAGATCCAGGACAAGGAGGGCATCCCTCCGGATCAGCAGCGTCTGATCTTCGCCGGAAAGCAGCTGGAAGATGGTCGGACCCTCTCCGACTACAACATCCAGAAAGAGTCTACCCTTCACCTGGTTCTCCGGCTACGTGGTGGTATGCAGATCTTCGTGAAGACGCTGACTGGCAAGACCATCACGCTCGAGGTCGAGCCCTCCGACTCGATCGAGAACGTCAAGGCCAAGATCCAGGACAAGGAGGGCATCCCTCCCGATCAGCAGCGTCTGATCTTCGCCGGAAAGCAGCTGGAAGATGGTCGGACCCTCTCGGACTACAACATCCAGAAGGAGTCTACCCTTCACCTGGTTCTCCGGCTGCGTGGTGGTATGCAGATCTTCGTGAAGACGCTGACCGGCAAGACCATCACACTCGAGGTCGAGCCCTCTGACTCGATCGAGAACGTCAAGGCCAAGATCCAGGACAAGGAGGGTATCCCTCCCGATCAGCAGCGTCTGATCTTCGCCGGAAAGCAGCTGGAAGATGGTCGGACCCTCTCCGACTACAACATTCAGAAAGAGTCTACCCTTCACCTGGTTCTCCGGCTGCGTGGTGGTATGCAGATCTTCGTGAAGACCCTGACCGGCAAGACCATCACGCTCGAGGTCGAGCCCTCCGACTCGATCGAGAACGTCAAGGCCAAGATCCAGGACAAGGAGGGCATCCCTCCCGATCAGCAGCGTCTGATCTTCGCCGGAAAGCAGCTGGAAGATGGTCGTACCCTCTCCGACTACAACATCCAGAAGGAGTCTACTCTTCACCTGGTCCTCCGGCTGCGCGGTGGAATGTGATATGTTTTGTTCTGTGATGCTAAATAAACACATGCTTCTGTAAATGTTTTTATCCGTTTCATGGATATCCGGTACCATACAAATCCATTAAGTTTCGAAATACACACACCAGGTCAAGAGACGTCTTTTAAGGGATGATAAAGGGGCAAGGTAGAGAGCGCGACGCTCACGACTGTTTTCAGATAGTTGTCAAGAATCTGGCATGAAGATAACGGAGCATGAAGAGAGGGGCCCAGCGAATGCAGAATAAATGGTGGGGGGGGGGGATTTTCCTGTCATTTTCCGCTGATGCACTCGTGTGGAACGTTAGGTTGTTCAACCTCCTGCGACTCTGGCTGTTCTGATCGCTTGAATTATATTGTCTACGGAAATTCTTCGCCATAAATACGGATACAGTATCAGCGGCGTATTTAGAAAATCGCGAAGGGGGGGGGGGCAAGGGTTTGGAGGGCGCCACCTCACCCAAGGAGGGCGCCATACGGTCGCGAGATAAAAAATCGCTCAGTGGGGGTTGGGGGGTTGGGAGGCGTTTTTTACCATGCCACCAGTTTTTTTTTGCGTAACCTCGTATAGGTCGTGCTGCATTGATTTTGCATCGTGTGTATTCTTTATACTTCAGGTCACAAAAGGTCAAGTGTTCTTGAAATGCTGCGCCGAAGGCGCGCGAAATTTTTGAAAACAACCTTTTCCTCCGCTTTTTAGGCACGCCTTTTATACGATCACTGTTCAAAGCTCCTCTCGCTCTTTTACCAAATTTGAAGGTGTAAAAAATACCTAAGGTTTGATCGGGCCGCTGCCACACAAACTGTACAGAAAGCTTGGCTCATGGGTGTCGATGTATAAAAGTTTATTGGCGGTGGCATATCTACGCACCAGATCACCGTATCGGATTGATACCGGAGCGCGAGATGCGTAAACATCATCCAAATTACCTCAGACCAGCCTTCATAGCCTTCTCACAGATGCATAGTGTACCCACATAACCAGTTTCAAAAGTACGTCGAGTATAAAGTACGTATGGAATAAGTACGTCAAGGACGGAAGTAGGCGTAGGTATCGCAGAGGTAGGTACGTAGGTACAGTACAAAGGACGTATACCTAGACAAAAGTACCTACGTCAAGGAAGAAAATACGCATCGAAAAAGTACGTAAATTATAAAGTACGTATATCGCTAAGCATAGATGTCGCAATCGGTCGCAACTACAGCGAGACATGCAGTGCAAACGGTAGCAGACAGCAGTAGTTTCCCCTACCAAAGTGGTGGTTTTCTACCACAGACGCTCGTCGAGGTCGGAAATTCCAAATACGCGTTTCAATCACCGAAACTTCAGATGCCTGCTGTTGCGCCCGAACCTGTTGACAATACTTAATCGTAATCCATAGGGGAGATCCGTGTAAGACGCCCAGGGTCGGTAAGAGGCCCCATCGCTTTTTTTACCAAACCAATAATGTTATTTATTTTTTAATGTTCTTGTAAAGCAGAAGCCCTCTTGAAACAACAACTCACGAAACCTGAGGTATCAGGTGCGTCGCAGCGACTTTTGGTAAGCCTGTTTCTGTTTTTGCCCCTTTACTTGCTAGATATATGCATCTTTATCACCCTTATATATCTGAAAAAAACAATGGCTATCAAATGCAATCTTTTCTCATCGAAATTGTCACATGTTAGCTTCAGAATAGACCATGTTCTGGTGCGCTGCAAATGTCTCATAAACCATAAATATTGTGGACGTTAAAACACTGTATTTTTTTAAGAGGCCCTCCCTTCGAGGATGATAAAACGCCCCCCGATAAAAAAACGCCCCCGATGCTAAAACGCCTGCACCTGCGGCAGGCGTGGCATTCTTTTTTCAAGGAGTTTGTTTTTGTTTCTTTTTTCTGTTTCTTTTCTTAGAGGTTATAGGTACAATTTTAGTTGGTCATCAGCGTTTGGTTGTGCTAGTTTTCGCATTGTTCGAGCGCTTTGGAAGTGTTATTGGTTTCGATAACACCGTATTTGCTTAGCTTTTCGAAATAAAAGGCCTTGCAGCTGTGTTCGCAAAGCGTCTTTTACAAGTCGACTTGACTTTTAAAACGCCCGAGGGGGGGGGGGGGCGTCTTACCATACCCATAGTGTAAGAGGCCCTTTTGCAACTTTTTCCAAAATGTTTAAGTTTACGGTTTGTGTACCCCCTAGATTCATTTTGAATGCAAATATGTATGGGAAAATGATGCATGCTCACAGCGCATGCACACGTTAGCGCTTAAATATTATCAGTTGTCTAAAAATAGTAACTGAGCTTAAGGGGGGGCCTCCTGCACCACTCTCCCCTATAGATGCCATGATGCACGTAAAGTAGGATCAATCCGTTAAGACCAAAGACGTGTTTTAGGGTAAGGTGCCTAATTAGCGACCCTTTCCGATTTGCGACCTACCTCCCTACAGAAAAACTGGCAGGAGAAAACGGGGTAAAAATGTCGTCAAAAGGTCAGCCATACTTTGGTTATCAAATTAAATTATTTTCCGGTCGTCGATGTTTCTGGTGGGACGTTTCAGGTGAGTTTAAATAAAAATGACGAGTTTCTTATCCAAAACGTGTGTGTTTGGGCCCTCTCTGATGAAAAGCGATGCACATTAGGATGATGCACCTTTTTATTCTGAATCGACATTTCTTTTTCAATTGATTGCCGTTTTCCCATCGTGAATCGCTCAACTGTGCACAGCATGGCGGTTAAAAATGTGTCGCAACTCATATTTCCTATTTGCGCCTGACATGGTCGCAAATAGCTCAAGAAGGGAAAGAAAGGGGAAAAGAGAGAAATGAAAATGAGGTGTTGCTGAACCTTGCAATGTGTGACAGGGGATGCCAAATGTCGTCACCGACTGCAGGGGTGCCGAATTCAGCGCGGACCTCGAATATCATACGAGATAGCCCGCAAAATCTGGGTTTCCGCCTTCTTTTCGCCTTCGGTGCATCACGTGATCAGTTTTTACTTGCGTAAATGTGTTGGATAAACGTTCCTGTTCGAGTGATTGACTGCTTTGCGTATAGGTTACCTTTTTGAGATCATATTTCATCTTTTCAGGCGTCGCATTTTTTGCCATTTTCAATATGGGGAAACCCATAGACTTATTAGCGACCCTCCCCGGTCGCTAATCGGGAAGAGTTCCCTATTAGCGTTTTTTGCAATGGTTTGCCAAAATGCTCACTACAAATATGTTAGTGAATATTGGGGCAGAAAATGACCATATTTTAATATAAAAATGAACGATCTCTCCGAAAATCAAGCCAGTAATACAGTAGCACCCACAGAGCGTGAGCAATGACGGTTCAAATTAAGGGGGTCGCTAATTAGGCACCTTACCCTATGCATCGTAGAGCGTAGATAGTTTTGGTAGGTATAGATACTTCATTCATTGTGCTGAATGCACGTTCATTTGTGGCAGTTTTCACAGGCAAGACATCAACTATGTGCAATAGAACGACTAAGTTGAAAAACATGCCAAAGGAGTAAATAAATGATAGGAGGGCAGCGATCAACGGATGTTGCCAATAGGTAGAAGGGCTGCGATCCACAGGAGGGCACTAATAGGTAGAAGAGCCCCGATCAACATCCCGAGTTTCGACAGTAGGGCACCGATAGGTAGGAAGTTGGCGAGCAGCAGGAGGGCGCCAATGGATAGAAGGGCAGCGATCAACAGAAGGCCACCAATAGGTAGGAGGGCGCCGATCAACAATCAACAGGAGGGCGCCACCAGGTAAGAGGGTGGCGAGGAACAGGAGAGCACCAATAGGAGGGTGGCGATCAACAAGAGGTCGCCAATAGGTGGGAGGGCGGTCATCAACTGGAAATCGCCAATGAGCGGAAGGGTGACGATTAAAATGGGGGTGGCAATGGTGAGGAGGGCGCCTTTGCTCAAGAGGATGACACGAACAGGAGGGCGTCTGTGCGGAGGGCGCTGGTCAACAGGAAGGTGCCAGTGGATAGGAGGGCGGTGATCAACAGGAGGGTGCCAGTGGTTAGGAGGGCGGCGATCTACACGAGGGCGCCAATAGGAGAAGGGCCCCGACTAACATTCAACAGGAAGGACTAGGGAACCAATAGGTAGGAGGGCGGCACTGAACAAGAGGGTGCCAAAAGGGAGAAAGGCGGCCTTCAAAATTTCACATGAGGGCGCAATAGGTAGGAGAGCGCCAATAATTATGAGGACGCCGATCAGCAGAAGGGCGGCAATGTGTAGCAGGGTGGCAACCTACAGGAGGGCGCCTTCGGGTGAGAGGGCGCTTATTTACAGGACAGCGGCTTACATAGGCGACCACCGTTACGCTTAGAGAGCTACAGCCTACAAATGTGGTTGGAGGGCGCCCGAGGGAGCCCTCCAACCGTATTTGGAGGGCGTATTTGGAATGGGCGTCCTCCGAGGGCGCCCTCCATCCGTATTTTCCCTGTAAACACATTCGCGATTGGAGGGCGCCCTCCAGTCGCGATTGTTTTTCGATTCGATTATATCACAATTGCATTTGCGATTGGAGGGCGCCTTCGGCGCCCTCCAATCGCAAAGGGCGCCTTCGGCGCCCAAGGGGGGGGGGCCATGGTCCAGTGCCCCCCCCCCTGCCTACGCCCCTGTACAGTATGGTCTACACCATTTTTGACCGAAATGCCCTAAAACAAATGGAATGAAATGAAAGGTCTACACCATATACTGGGTGGGCCACAATCTGCCGTGCAAAGTTGGGTCACGTGACCTTTGCTGACCTATGCAGGTCAGACGGGTGGGGTTTTCGACTCTCGTATAGGAACTTTCGCATGATCATCAGGGATCACTGTCTCGATCGTCTGTCCCCCTCCCCCTCCCCCCCTAAGGCGTCCTAGCGTTTTGTACTTCACCTGTATGTACACTCTAGCTCTCTCCCATTTCTACATGTACGTACCTACATACATACATACGTAAATGCATACATCTGGTTAGTCCGGGCCCCAGGGAGAACAAAGACCGGTCGTGCGCCGCGCGCTGGCCGCGTCAAGTGACTGCGCGATCAGCTGGCGCGCGGTCAGGGGGGGGGGGCTACCGACCTTGGGTGGCTGCAGATGGCTTCGCTTTCCCAACTCAGTTCTGCGTTGACGCCTGTCTGTG